GTAAGACATTAGCGAAACATCTGGACTAGGAGCTGACATGTCGATCTGAGATCGAGCACTTAGGTTCAGTCAATCGACGGGAAAATCTAAAATGAATTAAATATAATATACTTTTTTGCATTTAAACTTGGGGAAGCAAAGAAAACACAAAATAACATATTGCTTGTTTGTTGCTAAATTAAGTGTATTTCAATGATTCTTGATAACCGGTATCGCTTAATTTTGTTTTGTGCTAAACATTCGCAAAACATTCTGTTGATTAACTGCAAATTTTTAGCAAACCGAACAACATATATGTTCCTAATATAATTTTGTACCGTTATCAGACGACAAAGTATGTATGAAAGGTGTGTTGCACATTTCTAACACTCTGACCACAGATTTATTCATCATGTCAGTTTATGTGAAAATGAAGTGGAAGTCAATTAAAACGAACCAGATAACGGGGATTAAAAGGAGGATGACAACGACTGACATTCGACTTGGTAATATAATCAGATAGGGTTAGCTGAGGTTGTAGGCGAATATCCTATGATGTTCATGAACCAACCTGTATGATCTGGAGAAAGACAAAAATCTTTCATCTATACGCTGAAGCCATATTTGTTGTCACCAAGATAGTCAAACACAAGCCACAAAATCACACAGATGAATATGTTACTTTCTAAATTGTAACCTAATTTACAAATGTATATTTACAAACATACAGGTGAGGGAGGAGCAAATATGTCTGAATGACTTGGAAGAAAATTAAACTAAACTTCGATTTGGACAGGTGGTAGACTACCGGTTTCTCCCATATCAAATGATATAGTTGATGGGAAATAAAACAGTGAAGTCCAAGATGCGTTTAAAACTTTATGTGAAATTTCTGAGGACCCATACTGAAATATCTTGAGACCATAAATATTAGAAAAACTAAGCCTTTATTGTTGATTCTAGTTAGACTGAACCTACCTTTGAATCCTTATCTGAATATAATACCAAGATTAGTTTAAGTTAGAATGCTGCAACAAAAACAGGAGTTGAATGGAAGCTACAGTACACTGGACAAATGAATAAAGAAGAGTGTCAGGAAAGACAAAAGAAAATATTATGAAGCTATGAAAAGTGAAGCAGAACAAGCTGCAGTCAAAGGAGACCTCGAAACACTCCACCAAATAACTAGGTTATTATCCGGGAAAAGTTCGACACAAATTAGGTCAGTGAAGGGTGACAATGGGTAAACCAAAGGAAACACTGAGCTGAACACTTCAAAAGACTTCTAAATCGTCCGCCACCTACAACGCGCCTAACAATACCAACAACGGAAGCAGAACTACCAGTGGACACCAACCCTCCAACGAGAACAGAAATTCTGAAGGCAATCAAGGTGCTTAAAGCTAGAAAAACAGTAGGATCAGATGGAATCCCAGCAGAAGCATTGAAAATGGACCAAGAGACAACAGCGGACTTTAGGACATCACTACTGCAGAAAGTGTGGAAAGAGGGCAACGTACCCGAGGATTGGAAGAAAGGATACTTATTCAAACTGCCAAAAAAAGAGACTTAAGTCAATGCAAGAACTGGTGCGACATTATGCTCCTGTCCATCAAAAGCAAAATAATAAGCCGCATCATCCTGGAGAGAATCAAACAAGTCCTGGATGAAAACTTCGACCGGGACAGGCTGGATTCAGGAGAAACAAGTCATGTATTGGTCGAATTGCCACACTACGGATCATCATTAAACAAAGCTTGGAATGACATTCACCTCTCTATTTGAACTTCATCGACTTTGAAAGGCCTTCGACAGCGTCGATTGAGAGGTGAGTTGGAAACTACTTAGCTATTACGGGGTGCCGCCAACAATTTTACACCTCATCCAACAGTTGTAATCCAAGCAATCCACAACGGGAAACCTACGGAATCCTTCGAAGTAAAGATGGGAGTAAGACAAGCTGCCTGCCTAATATAGCCAATGATTTTCGTGTTTGAGGGCGGTAGAAAGGATAATGCGACAGACAACGGGAAATGAGGAAACAGGCATAAAATGGACTCACACAAAAAACTTGGAGGATCTGGACTTCGTCGATGCGATATATATGTCTGATTTCTCACAAACTGGAAGATATGCAAGTGAAAAGCAACAAGTTGGGAGAAGAAGCATCAAAGACAGGAATGAGTTCAGGTGAACGTGGAGAAAACAGAGGTGATGTGGATTCCTGGCCAACACCAGCAGCAACAACAACAGAAACACACAATAATCAGCCAGCATAAATGGGAGGAACCTGAAAGAAACAACCTCCTTTACCTACCTATGTGGGAAGCATGGTTTCAACTACAGGCGGACGGAACTGATGAGGGTATCAAGGCAAAGATCGGGTAAGCGAGGCAAGCTTTCATTACTCTCAAGTCTGTGTGGAGATCAACAGCACTCACCATCAAAAATAAGATCTGGATATTCAACTCCAATGTGAAGTCAGTCAGTGCTACTTTATGGATCAGAGACTTGGCGCGTCATGGAGAGCGCTTCGAACAAACTACAGACCTTCATCAGCAGCTGTCTTCGCCCAATAATAAATATCAGGTGGCCGGCCAGAAAGGATTATCAACAAGGAGGGATCTCTGGGAGCGAACCAGCCTAGCAGGAACCAATTTTGCATTAAATATGCTAGAAGAAATGGAGGTGGATTGGCCATACTCTGAGAAAACTATCAAGTGACATCACACGCCAGATTGTCGAGTGGAACCCGAAAGGGAAGCGGCGAATTGATCGTTCAAGGGTGACTTGGAGGAGGTCAAATGGAGAGGAGATGAAAGCATGTGGGTAAACTTAGAGCCAGGTGAAAACTCTCTCTCTCTCTCTCTCTCTATATATATATATATATATATATATATATATATATAATCCTTTAATTCGTAGAATCGTCGCTTATTAAAGTGTTCTGTATTTGACTGGAAGTATTTCTTACCAATCATTGCTTGAGTATACGCCTTCAGTATGACTAAATTCATCTCGGTCATAGTGAACTGATCATTTCTGGGGGATAAATTTATAAATGAAAACAAAACACGTAGATCAACGAAGAGTCTCTTTTCGGGGAATTCATTTTCTTAGCTGTAATGCCTGGATGGGGATTATCCATGAATTGAAAATTTATAAATATCAAAGTATGTTGTGAAAGCTCGGCTATAGGTAATTCCAGTCCTTGGAACATTGGCAATTCGACAACCTTGCCTTGTACAATAAACGTCATTTTCCTATTTTTCTTAGCACCAAGTTAACTAAAAATGTTCACTAAGACACCGGAAATAGAATAAGTTTGAAACAAAATATCACACTTGCAACTAATAGCTTGTAAAAGCTTTATAAAGATATGAAGTGTCTTTAAGTTACTAAATTAAATATTTCATTTAAAGATTCAAAGTGAACTAGAATAAATTTTTGAAAGGATACGCGACCAAATGCCAGAAAATGTAAAACAAGGCAGTTAGTTGTTAATATCTTACTTCTGCTTTTATATAGGGGTTCGTACAAATAAATAAAGGTGAATTAAAATAACACAAATTCCCCATTAAATAACATGCTATTTTTACCACTTGTGAACTAAAAATCTTTTCAGCAGAATTATCAATTAGTGTTCTAACAGAATATAATGAACAACATTTACAAAAAAATATGTTTCGTCTTTATAACATATTTAGTGAATGAGAAATTACGATAAATAGCCCTAGGCGAAAAGAAAAAATCATTTGAGAAGCAGAAAACCAAACGAAAACATAGCAGAATGAGAAGATATCCTAGAACGTGCGTGACATAAAAGATTATTTCTAATTTTATATCATTTTTCCCTTCTACATTACTTGTATTTCTCTTGTAATAAATTAGATAGAGGAAGACAATGGCGACTCTTTTTTACAATGTATAAATTTGTTTATACATATATAAGATTATTAGATCTCCTACTGTGTTGGCATGGTGCAGGTTGAGATTTTTCTACTCTAAGATAATACTTATCAATTCTTTCCATCTTGTTACATACTATTTCTATTTTTAACTTTGAGGAAAAATGAGGGAAAATAGTTAAGTGCTATGCTCACTAATAATATGGATTATTCTTCGTGAGTATTGATGGTAATGGTTAAAAAAATGTCTGAGTAACTTTTTACGTACATGAATAATTTTCTTTCCTTGTATTTTCTGAATAGTAAGTAAACTTTAATAAGAGAAATAAGGTCTCGGAAGTAGCCCTCTTTAATTGCCTTTTCTGACTCTTTCCTACAGACATTTTAGTGATGGATTTCATCAGGAAATGACATCTGTTAGAGGACCATTGGGAAACCTGGAAGTACTGGACAGCTGTTTCGTCCTAGTTGGGGACTGATCGGTGGTACTTACCGAATCAGGTTCAAACCGATGACCTTCTGGTCACAAGGCGAGCTCGTAGACCATTAAGCCACTGGGACTCTATCCAGTGGTTCATGTATCCCAACTTCTACCAATTCACAATGTGACGGGACTAGTGGGATACAGCAGGTCAAGTGTGACCACAAATACTCACTGATGACTTGTGCTAGTGATCGTGTCACATCGCAAATTGGCTGAAGTTTGAGTTCATGAACCACTGGATCGGATCCCAGTGGTCTAATGGTCTACGAGCTCACCAACCTTGTAACCAGAAGGTCCTGGGTTTGAACCCTGATGGTGGTACTGATGACGAGTCCCAAGCTAGGAAGAAACAACTGTCCAGTAACCTGAGGTTTTTTGATGGTTCTGCAACCGCAGTCAACTCATGATGAAATCCTGAAATTGATCAAATCCCTACAAACCAACAATTTAATATTTATATATTGTTAAATGATGAGAAACTGGGATCCTACATTAAGATTAATTTAATTGCAAATGTGAGTTACGTGCAGGTTCTGTGCTTTTGTGACACACAGAACCTGTATAAAATTAATAGCTTCAAAATGGCATTTTTAAGGATTTACATTTATATTTCATTATACGGTACTTACAATTATTTAACTCCAACTCTTAAGTCAAAAATATGGTAATTAAAAGAATTGGAGCTCAATATTTTTTCCATGTATCTGCGTTGACTGAAAAAATGACATCTTCTTGAAGGGAATAAATAAAAACTGTCACCGCATTCGTGAAGCTTTTACATTTAGTCTTCTGTCTAAACAGATTTCAAAAAAAGTAGCAGTCATCTTTAATTCGATTCAAAGATTAGAAGACTCTACACTGATTTATCTAATATATTCACATTAGTTTTCAGGACAAATGTACTGATGTAATTATTGATTAGTGATGACAGGGTGATTACTGAAGCGTGCCTAATGGTATTATCTTTTCATTATCAAAATATACAGTGAGGAAATTCATGAAAAAAGAGTAGTTTGATGAAGTGCTGACAGCGTGTTTATTCACTCGAGAATTTCGAATGAATTATAACTCATCAGAATGTTGATATGGACACCTGTCTTATTTGTATATAGTTATCTTGATGAATTTCTAAATAGAAACAAGTAGTGCGAGAAACTATTTGTTGTAAGGTGTCTTTTACTGAGATATTTTACTCTCAACGTTTACTAGTAGACTGTGTATGTAAATTATAAAATTATCCTTATGAATAGAAGTGAGAAATCAACTTTAAAAGATTACCTAAGTCGTTATACAACACAAAATAATTATTCTCTTCAATATTGCTAATAAATGCAACTAGAAAATAAATGTTTAAACCATTTAGCTTTCAGCCATAACTTTATTTTTGTGATAAATTTGTTAGTTAGGGATGACAAAAGTGGATTAATTTCTAAAACTATATCAAATTTATATGGAGGATTTCATCATGAGCTGAAATCAGTTAGAGAACCATTAGAAAACCTGGGACTACTGGACAGCTGTTTCGTCTTTACGCATGCATTAAAATGGTGACAGGGTTAGAGGTAGATGATATAATTGTGTCTCGTTTGTTAATTTAAACACATTATCACTACATGAGGTCTATAGAGGAAACTATGTTGAACGTGTGGTGATTGAGGACTTTAGTTTCAACTTGATGAAATTAACTTGGAAGTATCATTACAGGTTACATTAACTTCAAATTGAGGCATACGCTAAAGATGTTGCCCAGTAGGGTGAAGAAAGCTTCGCAAATAAACCGTCCAGCTTAGACAACACAAATACGTTAGAAACACTAACAGTAGCATTTTCACATTACGGGAATTACGACAGAGTGATAACCGAGTCCTGCTTGGTTAGAAATTCTGTTTTTTGGCATGTGTTACCAACATAGAACTATAAGAATTCAACATCTAATAGTGGAGTCTAACACATCTGTTATCTTGAGCTAACTTCAAGCACATATTTACCAAAATAAGAATAAAACTGATTTTTTGGGGGATTGAAGTGATCTCTCCTAAGTAAGTGAATGTATTTCAATGGGCGCATAACAAACGTTTTCACTCAAATAAACTGTTGTCAAGATTTGACAGAATAGTTCTAAAATATTTGGGCGCCGAGTAAGAAGTAGACTAAATACCATAATTTTAAAAATACGTCTAATCACGAAAAATTCTGGATACTAACAGTTTGAACAGACATGAAGGTGTGATGTTAGCTGATGCATAGAAAATCCTGATTAATAAATAATAATGGTTATGTATCACTAATAAATAATACTTGATCAAAGTTTCCCGACTGTCTGTATCTTCTTATGGAGAAGTTAAGAGATTGTTTTACAACTGTTTACCCCCCCCCCCACACACACACAGAGACACATACAGACTCTATTTAAAGTGTTTAACAAAGGTAGACCAATATTTGTAAGTCCGAGGTCAAGTTTTGATCCCAGCTCATACAATTTTGTTTACCATACTTGTTGATACTTGTTTTACGACTTATGATTGGCCAAAGCTTTAAAAACGAGAGATGTTCCTTTTATGTATAAACCTCTGTTTTGTTAATTTCGATTAATTTCCCTGAACAAGTTTGGACCAGAATGTCGAACGAAACGTTGGAATTGCTCATTTCAATCTCGCTGAGATTCTACAAATATAATTTTTCATAAACGTTTCCACTACATCTTGGTTAACACTGCACTAATTAAAGTTACATTAGGGCTTCCGTATCTTTCATGAAAGATATCTTCGTTCTAACTGAGTAAGCTGAGACGTAATTTACCTGCTGCCTCACTCCTCATCAAAAGCACTGTAAAAAGGAAACTATTTCATAAGTATGAATGACAGTAATAGAAAGCTTGTTTTTATATCTGTAATAGCAGACTAGTTAGTAAAGCAATGCCAATTCCACTTCACTTGCTTATGTTTGGTTTAACTCTCTGAATAACAAATGACTTTGTTTTCTCTAATGATAGTATTAATTCATAATACTGTAGTCAATAATAAGCTATACAAAGTAAAAAAGAAACATCTGTCAGTTAAACATGAGTACATATAATTAGTTTTATTTTACGATTGACAGATTTGTTGTCTGTTAGTTATACAACAAGTAATCACAATAAAACATAATCAAAAAACAAATACACAATAACTAGACTTCCTGATGATCTATCACATCTTCATTCAATTAGCTACCATGACTACTCAAAAGCAAAAAGTGGTTATTGATGAAATCTAAAGCTTCTTTATTTCAAAAAGCAGCATTTCTAAAATCTATGGTTTATCTATATTAACAAGGCTAAAGGTAATACTTTGAAGAGATTCCTACTAACCTATTTGATGGATCGACTCGACTAGAGATGAGAAAAAGGTAAACTAACCAGTTTAAATTGGAAAATTATCACTATCAGTGCAAAAAGCAGTACAAATGCGGGCAACTTCGAGCCACCACCCCCTGGTATATGAAACAGGTTCTATAAAGCTTAGGTTATGCTGTGTATATCGCCAATGTGGAATGTATCTTTATTTAGCTCACCTGTACTTAATGATTTTTCTGCACTCTACAGTTCTTTAACTCATTAGACCTAATTATGCTAATATACCGCATGAGTTGGATACTGAGATTGGACTACGTGATACTACAGACTTTAAATGCAAATAAATTCATCTGAAAAAACCTTACAAACTGCGTTATTACCTGAAATAATTTAAAATACACTTTACCCTTCCACTTAAATATTTTATGAAACAAAAGCCATATTCTCTTAATCAAAATGCTTGAATTTAAATATTGTATGCTATTTTGCATTACTATCGGTTTCTAAAACCGCAAAACTTTACATATTCTTTGGTTTTACAATTCATCAAAAAGCCTAATACAATAATGAATGAATTCATATAAAAATATATCATATTCTGCTTACCAAGCATAATTTCTTTATTACAGTCATGTCTAGCAATTCCAAATGCAGGCTGTCCACCGGGATCACAACGATCCACTGTAAATTCCCAATAATGCACACCTCTTGATAGACCAGTGGAACCAAGAATCACTCTGTCTTCAGATAACTGACTTGTCACAGTACGATTTCCGTTTGTAAGCAAAATGTCTGGTACAGCAGTGGTAATATCCAGATGAAACCAGGTAACTAGAAAAAGAGAAGCAAGAAATGAAATCACACAAGAAACTTTAATAAATAGAGAAAATTTGTCAGTGTGAAATTGAAATTCACCTATATCAAACTAATAAAATTTACAAAGAAATTATCTTAAAACTGTTTTCAATTATAAGTCAAATAGTAGGTTTACTGTATTATGAATGAACTAGATATTGTGTCAGTTCACGTTAATGACTCAGAGGTTATAGTAGTTAATACCATAGAGTTTTGTTTAGTTAATAGTATTCCACAAATGAAATCTCAGTGTTAAATGGAAGTTAGAAAACATGCTCCTTAAGACGATTACAGACTCATATATATCATAAAAGAATTCTGTGAATATAAATATTTATGGTTGTCATTATGTCTGGTTAACGCGAATAGCTTGAAATTATGTAACAAACTTAGTTCTCAAGTATTGGCTTTGTAGGGATTTTTTTGATTGCATGGAGGATTTCATCATGAGCTGACATCAGTTAGAGAACCATTGGAAAACCTGGGGGTACTGAACAGCTGTTTTGTCCTAGTTTGAGACTCTTCAGCAGTAAACACCCACCACTAGGGTTCAAACCCAGAAACTTCTAGTTACAAGGCTAGCGAGCTCGTAGACCATTAAGCCTGGGGTTTTAGTGGGAAGCTGTGACCAGTAGGGCACAGCAGGTCAAAGATGAGGCGGTAACTAATCAAAGAAGACATCGCGAAATGGTCGCGCTATGTCATGAATTGGCAGAAGTTAGAATTCAAGAACCATTGGATCGTGTCCCAGTGGCTTAATGATCTACGAGCTCACCTTGCAACCGGAAGGGCCCGGTTTCGAACCCTGGTAGTGGGTGTGTATTGATGGAGAGTCTCAAACTCGGACGAGACAGCTATCCAGTGGTTCTCTAACTGATGTCAGCTCATGATGAAATCCTTCATGCAATAACAAACTTAAACCTTTCAATAAAGATTATTGCAACATTTTAAAAAGTGGAAAATGACGCTTCATAATTCTGCTCGTTTTACATGCAGAGCCACTGTATTCAATTTTAGAACAATCATTCTGATATTTAAGAAATGAGAATACCTTAAAGGATATTAAATGTCTTAATTTTATGGCATTCTTTGGAGTGATGGCTAAATTGCAAAGATTTTAATTGTATTACTACACATTTTCATCTCAAAACGCTGATACCTGAGTTGTAGGGAATATGAGAATCCACGACAGATTGATTATTTTAGTAAACCACAAAACTGGAATGATTCTATATTTTAAATTTCCTAACAGAAGTTCAAATATTAAAATTTTCGTCATAATGCTAAAGTTATCAAGATATCTTCTCAACATTCTGTTTCATCCGTTTAAATGCCATATTATTAGTTTCAGATTACCGGTTTAACTAAAAAGGGATTGTGAACCATGCGTATATGAAATATTTTTGTAATCGATAATCTAATTTTATTTTAAAGTTGGCGGTGATATTCTCATTCAAAAAGCGGTGAAAGCTTTGCAATTAAATTATCGATCTCAGAGAAGTCTAAGATCGTTTCAAGATATAGAAGTCCTAGGCAGACAGGTAGAATTCTAATTTAAGATGGTGTTATATTGCAGACACACCATCAAAGATGAGTAATGCAATTAAAACAAAATATGACCAAGAATCCTTATTGACATGGTAGACATTTCGAATTATAATTTACTGTAAATACAAATTTCTGTTTTATATTCACCTTTCTAAACTGTATTGAAATCATCCGTCGAATACTGGAAAAATCTTGGGTTTAAGTGAGGAGAAACCACTGGAACTTAAAAGATATTACTCCTGAGATAGGTTTCACTTTCGAAATAATAACAATCCAATTTTATTTTATAGGGTTGGTTTAAAGAAAAAGTAAGACATACTAAAGGGGCTGACGCAAAGCCTTATTGAATGCATTATATTCCAAGTAGAGTATGAAAGATAACATAAGAAGATCATAATAACGCTTTCTCTGCATGCTACAACTGTTTGTTTCATCTAAATTTTTTTCCCTTCAAGCTCCCCAGTGGAACATAGGGCCTCAAGCTAGTAGCTTGAAGTTTCTGCAGCAGTGCTCATTTTACAGAATGGGGTTGCTAGCCTCATGCCTAACCTTTCCTCTTCACCTGCATTATTTCTGGCTTAGCGAGGTAAAGGAGTGCGTCGGTGGCCTGGGATCGAACCCCGGACCATGTGCATGGTCGGCGAGCGTCCTAACCGCTATGCCACCGACACACAAATAAATAACATAATAAAAACAATCACAAAGAAAATTGTTTAGCATTGAAGTATAACTGGGAAATTTATATATGACATTTCACAGGTGTGACTCATCATTTGTTATTGTATTTCAAGGGGAAAGGTGATTTGAAAATGTCAGATCATACTTACATAAATTCGCAATTTTAGTTAGTTAGTCTCTTAGCCCAACATATTTTGATGGTTTATTGTTCTCTATAACATTATTTATTTAGTTAGTTTCATTTTGCAGTGCAATAAATAAAAAATTTGATAAAAATGATGCCGAAGAAAATGACTTCACAATATTCCTGTAAAAAAGAACAACACTGAACCAGTAAACAATTCATGTGGTTTACATTCAAATGGGTGTTTCTGAAATATGATGGAATAGTTGCGAGAAGGATCAAAGGTTACCACCGGTCTGTGACTCAATGAGCTAGACAAAATACAGAAATAATATGTCTCAAGTGTACAAAAAACCAAGTTACTTTGAAAATCTTAGTCTAACGTTTTTATTATATTATATTGAAAGAATTTTGTATTCCGATTGTGTGGCTAGAAAGAACAATTCGTTATCAGTTTGTCTATATACCTCTCAACAATTAATATTAGTTAGATAAAGCAATAAGAAGACGTAATTTGTCTGAATCGTGTAATGCATTTGCGCAACACATTTCGAACAATCTGATCACACACGGACTTGTCATGAATTACACGATTCAGACAAATTGCGTCTTCTTATTGCTTTATCTAGATTCATAAAGGGAACTAATTGTTTTAATATTAGATAATATTAGTGGCAGCGTTTTAACAGTGTCCTAATGTTACGATCTACGGACTTAGTATCACAGAAACAGGTACGCTGATACCAGCGCTTATGCTAACAACAGTGAGATACTGTGTCTTGAATATAAATTATTGAATTTTATTTTCATGTGAGTTATATCCCTATTTATAAAAGTTTCTCCTCAAGTAATCCCTTTAATGACCATCCTAAGTATTGCAATTTTATGTATTTTTAGAATACTTGAGATTACTGTTATTCCCTCTGACTTCTAGTGGAACATGAGGCTTCAGTGATAGATCTCTGTTTCATTCTGTTTTCTGTAGTCTTCTTCAGCCTGCTTCATGACTGCCCCTTATCATACATCTCCTTCTCACACTATTCTCTCTGTGTCACCTTTGGACACTCCACTCGTTATTTTCCATTCGACTTCCGCTCTAGGACCTGTAGTATGATGTAATCCAACAGCCTCCTCAGCGTGTGTCTTATCTATCTCCATTTCTTTCGGCATATTTTTTAGGCAATAGGTTGCAGTGCTGCCAGAGTCCCTTTCTGCTGATTCATTACAACCGATCATATGACCTAATCTTCAGTATGAAAAGTATGCACTGGAGGCGGATGTTGGTAAAAGTCTGCAGCAGGCCATTGGGAATGCTTTTTGGGACACACCTAGTCTCTGGACTATATAAAGGTCCTTACTTCACACCGAAGTTGAAAATCCCGATCTTCTTTCTTATCCTGAGTGTAGTAGACTCCCATAGGAATTTCAGATTAGTGAAGGTCTGCCTTACTTTTCTGATAGTGTCTTTGAAATCCTTATCTGTTCTGCATGCAGGTGAAAATATACTACACAAATAAGTGAAAGAAGTGATGTCTTTCAAATTGCTGGTGTTTATTGTTGTTTGTTAGGTGTCTTCCCTACCCTTGTCTTATACATGTTCAACTGAAGTCCTACCTACCTTTACCTCTTCTTCTTCCGACATGTTGGTTTTCGCCATTAGATCTTCAAGTGTGTGTGAAATTAAACAAAAGGAATCCGCGAAGTACAAGTCTTCTAGATACATTTTTTGGCGCAATGTATAACTTTCTTCTCGCTCTTCACAGTCTACCACATGATCTTATCCACCACAATCAGGTATTTTATCGGTGATAGAATTTCTTGAATAACATATTGTATTTTGCTAGAAAGGCATTTCAATTATTTGAGCTGTTTTCATAATTAACAGACACTAAGTATGGGAAAGGTGAAAACGTAATAGCCGCAGAAAACGTTTTGTACAAATGGGATTCTCAACAGTTTTTTGTTATGATAATAGAGAAGAGTAATTTCATGGAAATGAGGCTTAGGAAACTGAAATTTACTGTCTAGAATTAATTTTCCGACGTAATAATCTTTGAGAGTTTAAACGTTATGTGATAATTATATGTCCAGCAGTATTTTATTTATAGCTAAAAATCATAAGAGTATGTATATTTGTTCTAGGAGTTATAACTTCTTCGTGAGAATACATTTGGTGCTTATGGAAAAATTATTCCCTTACTTATGCTGCAAATCAGATAAAAAGTTATGAATTCTATCTATATATTATGTAATGGAATATCTTTGACTTTCCTAATTGGTTTTAGAAGGGGAGTAAAACCTCTACTGTCATGAAGAATGTGGCAGTCATAGTAGATAAATGTTTTTGAACTTAAAACTTTGGCACTGACATATTTTAGATAAAAAACACATGAATAAATGATAATTATGAGGGTGTCCGTGGTTCAGTTGTAGAACGCTCGATCCGCGTCGGCACACTCCTAAACCTCGCTAAGCTGATAGTATGGCCGGTAAATAGGAAAGTTTGAATGTGGGCCAGCAAACACACTCCATAAAAATAAAACCAAAACTACTGAAACGTCAAAGCTCCAGCATGAAGCCATATGTTCCACTCCAAACTTGTAGGGATAAATTTATTTTTTCACCT